AAAACACTTGGGAGGCGAATATTTTTGTTATTTTCCTGCTGCTGCTTGCTGTCTTTCTTTGAGCGTTAATCAAAACCCCATTTCAAATTGACCCACATACCAAGGTGGCATGTACCCAAAACGCCAGACTCACTCAGACAAACTCTGAAAATCAGGTGTTCAGGTAAGTGTGTGTGTGTGTAAATTTCTGGTTGAGCTTGTGCTGAAAGGCCGCTTTGAAAACGCTAAAAATCAGCCAACAAAAAGGCGCTGCTTTGAAATCAAAAAACACAAACGAAACCGAAACAAGCTATGTATATGCATTTTTTGAAAGTCGTTTCGATTTTGTGTGTCTCACCTTCAGTTTTTTGGTTGGCAATCGCTGGTGGTGGGTGATAGGTCCCTTTCGATTTGGCCGATCTTTGAATCATAGGGCCGTAAAAGAAATTAACGCTGTGAAAGAATATGAAGACCACTTGTAACCCAAAACCAGCAAACGACACGTCTCGTTAAAACTGCAAAAAGGTCAGCAAACCCCCAAGGAAACACAAAAGCCAAACGATTCCCTTCTCCCTCTTTGTCGTTTCTACTCCCCTGGATTTATTGCTTCCAATTGGAGTGCATTGTTTTTTGTTGAGTATAAATTGCCAAAAAGCGGCGATTTTCTACCTGCCAGATCTACGAGTAGTCGGCAAGGTCGATTAGTCATTAGAGTGCAGCACCCAGACCCAAATACCATACCATGTCCAGTTTCAAGCCCAAACCCAAAAGCAAAACCAAAAACCCAAACAACAGTCCTCTCGAGTGGCCTGCCACTCATTTTTTTTGGCCTGTTCCAAACAAAAAACCAAAAATCGGCATACAGGCAAAGAACAGAAAAGGGAATTTATGTTTTTGCCGGTATCGTAAAACCATAGCAATGCAGTGAGAACAGAAAAGAGGAAAAATGGATAAGGGAGGAGGGTTAGGCAGAGAGTGAGAGGTTAGAGGTTATAGCAGGGCAGGTCGTTAGCCGATTTCGATATCCAGGAACCTGGCTGAACAGCGGGTAGTCCCCCGAACGAGATATGGGAAGTGGAAGCAGGAGCAGACATGTCCCGCCAGGACTCGAAACAAGCCCTTATAAATGCCTAAATTCCTCAGCTGATCAGGACCCCTGATAATTGAACGCAGATGTATTGGATTTATACAAAACACACACAAAAACTGGTGCTGTGTGGAAAGTTATGGGCAAATCCAATTATCAGCTTACAACTTCTTTCGGTCGCGGCGAAAACCTTCAGCAAATTGATGGATTTCTTCAGTTCGAAAGCGGTAGTTGTAAATAAACTGCTACGAGTACCACTGTCATGGCCATTCACCTGGTCAGCTGGCCAAAATGCACATTTAGGCGAGCCAAAAATGGGTCGCAGCCCAAAAGTGAGAGGCCGAAAAGAACAAGTTGAAAATATTTCGGCCAGCAATGAAAGTAAAAAGCCAGCTGGAAATGAGAGCAGCTCGGTTGCGTGCGTACAGAAAAATCACGAGGCAATGTCAATTTCAATGCCATTAAAACGAATTTCGTTTTAAATGCAAAACACACAGGTACAGAGCGGCAGATAACGAGGGAGAAACTACAAATTACTCCCGGAAGTGGCAACAAATCGGAGTGGGCTACCCGTCTTGAGTCCCGTGTCTTGACAAATTATCCCCGACATTTGGGCCGGCAGCTGAGCTTAATTCTTTGGCCGAGCGAGCGCCTGCCGTTAAATGAGCTTGCAAATTATATGCGCTGCTCCTGCTGGACACTTGATTCATGGCCCGGCCATTATACGTCATCGTAATTGAAATGCGACTGGAAATGGACGTGGAAATGTAAATGAAAATGGAGATGGCGATGGAGCTGCCGAGGGCGATGGAAATGCGTGCAACAAGTTTATCGCTTGAAATAACCTTAGAATTAATTGCTTCACGTTTCCGATACGAACGAAAAAAAAAAAAAACAAAACTTGTTTTGTGGCAAACAAAGGCGAGCAATTGAACCAAACCGAAAAATAATTTCGGTTGGAGTCAAACACTCACACACACGTGACCATCACATGCCAGCGAGGACAACTATTGATAGATGTAACAAATTTCTCCACCTCCTCTGTCAGTTGAGTTTTCGATTACGAAACCAGCCAAAAAAAAACAGACAGCAAACAAAAAACCAATTGTTGATTGACTTACAACAGCAGCGCCGAACTTGAGCTCTTCACTTTTCTAGTTATTTTCGAATTTGTGGCTAATGATGAGGTCATAGAAGTTGGAGCTTGTAAGTCGCACGTTTCTGTATGATGTATGGCGTATGGCGTATGGCTCACATTTCCATAGCTGATTATGCCGAAAGATTCCGATTTCGAGGCTTTTCAGCTCCGCCACGATCGTAAAAGCCAGCGGACAAGCCAAACAAGCTACGATAGATACATTTTCAGTGTTTTCCCCTTTTGGGCAACACATCAAACTCGATCGGGTCACAGTCCGGGTATCTGTATCTACTGGATACCGAATACTGAATACCGAATACCGAATACCGAATACTGGATACTGGGCACAATGGGCTGGGGACAAGCCCACACATCTGGCAGCCAGCTAGCTAGCTAGCTGACAAATTTATCGACTCGCCACACGGAAAAGATACGCGCAGCTGACTTGGCATTGAGGAGCGCGTATCTGTATCTCTGTATCTCAGAACGTAAGGTTACACAGAAAGAAAATTTATGTAAATAACGAACCTATTTAATATATAATGTTTGTCTTGTTACCAACTATTAAACTTGCAGTTTAAAAGTTAAAAACAATAATTTAAATTATATTTATTAAGGTTTAAAAGTTTATTAATTTCTTGGACATCGGTTGGAATTTAACTCAGTCTTTTCTCACCAAGCCAAGTCAATAATGGCAATTCATAAAATAATTCTTAAGATATAGTTATATTAAAAGTGTATAGATTTTTTTCCGTGCATTCACGCTCGTGACGAGTATCTCAGCAATTATATGCAACAATTACGAACTTTTTTTTAAGCGATTATCAGTCGAGAGAAAAACCCGTGCCGGCAAAAAAACAAACTGTGGAAACTGCAAGGGAAAGCAAATGACACGCTGGAGAAACAGAGATGGCGATAGGAAGCGAAAGGGACAGAACACAGCTTGAAGCCGGCTCTTGCATCTCTTTCTGCCCGCAGCGCAGTCAGCCGGCAAACCGCTTTGCCCAGTATCTGTGTGAGCATGTATCTCACAGATGCATGTGTTCCGCTCATGTATCCAACTATCTTTGCCATCTATCTATATGTCTGACTTATGACGCAATTCGAAAAGTTCATCTGATCTTGTTGCGCTCTCGCTCTCTGCGTATCTCCATCTTTTTCTTTCAGTCGACTGTTGTTTTTATTGCCAAGGCGCGGCCCCAACCCGGAGAATTAATCTATATAATTACATAGCTGTAAAGCGTAGAAACCTCAGGCCATGTATCTCTATTTAGCCCTGAAATTTTACCGCATTTATTGCAATTGTTTCTTGTTTGCCTAACGTCTCTTTATTGGCATTTTATTTTACTCTTTTTTGTTGTGGGTGCTGTTTTCTTTTTTCTATAGAATTCTTTCACGAAAAGCAAATTCTAAACAAATTTTCATTACGACACCATCATCAACATCATAGAGCGGCGTCGTCGTCACTGAGATTTTTTTGGGTTCGCATTCGGTTTCGGGGTGATTCTATAAATGCCCCATTCGATGTTTCACTCTAGAATTATTTTTCGCCGAGTTTATTTATTAATTTTTTTGTGTTTGCTTAGCGAGCAGTTCAACGATTCCGAGTGACGTAATAATAAAATGGGCTGTGGCTGGAGGATTAGCTAGATCTTGTGTGTGTGGGCCACAAGAGTTAGGAAGAATTAATAACGAATACTTGGATGGCAATACGCTGGAAATCACGCATGAGCGGCATTATTCAGTAATAAAAAAGGAAATTAAGTCAACAATGGGTTGCATTTTTTAAATTATATTCAACATTCCACAGTATCTATTTATACATTGGATCTTATGAAAGTGACATTTTATAGCAATTTATCTTTGGCTTTCGATATCCACCAAAGATAATTACATCTGAAGAAGCTTGAGCTTTGGCCAACCTAATCTTGGGGGCTCGAACTGCCCTCAACCGAGTGGGGTTCTATATCAGAGCGTATACGCAAGAAGGCCAAACCAGAGCGTAACCCAATTACGTGCCGAAAAGCGGAATGCGACCCTCGACAAGTATTTTTTGTGCTTTTCTTTTTTATATTCGTTGCATAGTTGCACATAGAACGTGATTGCACATACACACTATATGTCGTACGGTACGGTACTGTACTGGGGTGCGAGTAAATATGTGCTCTGAATAGACGAGTACATAGGCGCATAGATATACATAAGTGCATGTGTATGCTTCGCCCCACGAAGGGGAGGGGGGTTTGGGGATTTTCTGTGGCCAAGCCAACCTTGACACAGTTTCCGCCGCCCCGTGATGATGATGATGATGATGTTGGCGGTAATGACGAACCAAGCGACTACAGAGCAGCCAGCGGTCAACCCCAAAAAATATATAAATACTGCATAAATTGGAAACTCCTTGCCTATCAAAAAATAGTGATAGTAACTAAAACTCAATAGTTGTAGTCAGCTCAAAAACCCATTGTTTGGAATTTTAAACTAATTTCAAATCCTTTTTAAAGTCTATCCTTAATTTTATGCTTAAAAACGTGATGACGATTCTGGAAACACTAATGATTAAGGGAAAGAAAAATATTTATAGGTTAATAATAACTTTAAATATTTAAAGATTTTATGTTAATGTAGATGAACCCAATGACCAACCAAGAACAATAAATATTATATATGTTAATAAAAAATACCTCTTTTATTTAAATAACTGTTTGCAAATGAAAAGCTTGTTTCTTTAAAATCAACTTCTTCATTTTATAATATTTGTTGTTAGGCTTTAATCTATTCTTAATGCCAACTCACCTCATTTCCAACTGTGGTGATCTTGACAGTCACCTCGTCCTTGGTGGCGTCGTGCTCCACAACGTCGCCGCTCTGCTCGCGTCCGTTGTAGGTGAAGTAGACCCGCTGACCGGGCTGAAGCTCAGTGTCCATGATGGAGCGGAAGCCGGGTCCGATCAGGTCCGATTCGCGGAACTCCTTGATCATGGCGCTGCGGCGGAGGGCCTGGGCCGGACTGATGTGCACGTTGGCTGCGCGACGCGCCTCCACAATGACCGACGGATCCGTGGAGGATATGGACGAGGACGACGATGACGAGGAAGTGGACATGGACGTTGACGAGGAAGTGGACGCGACTGGGGACTCGACGGCGGTCTTGAAATCGAAGCGGACCAGGTAGCGCGTGTCGGCGTTCAGCTGGGCCTCGCCCGGCGCCAGGAAAGTGGGCGGCGGCGGCGGCGAGAGGGGGCCCATGTACGAGGGCGGCGTTTTCACGTCCGAAATGGTGCCGGAGTACCAAAGGCCGTCCGGACCCTTGGCGCACACCTTGGTGCCGATGATGGAGCGCTTGGCCAAACGGCGGCCGGTGGACATTTTTGTACGTTCGGTGTTTCTGATTGAGGGGACTAAAATTTGGTTTTCCAGCTCTTTAAGCGCTGGACTTCTGATGGTCTCTTTCTTTTGCTTGTGTTTGTTTGAACTTAGAGCTTGAACTTGGCCATAATCAACCACATTTTCTCGCACTTTGAACACTTTTGCTTTGTATTGCACTCGAGTATTTGATTTTATTTATTTATCTTCGCACACTATCTGCTTAGTTATATTCACTACTTGGATTTTAACACACTGTCTTTTTGATTTTTTTAGTTTTTTTTATATTTTTGAGTGACTTAAGTCTGGCAGACGTTCTTGGTCAGCCTGAAGACAAGGAATTTGGCGTAACCGGGCAGTTTCTTGATGATGTTTTTGTGATATAGCTCCAGAGAGAAGGTGACGCGGTGCAGGAGCCACTGGGGCGGATGAAAATGCGGCTTTAACTTCACATGCTCGGCGTCGCTGGGCGTTTGAATGGCGTGGCAGTTGCGTTTGTGCCTAAGCATAATCCAATTTTGACCGCTTGTAACGTCAGCTTGCAGTTTGGACTTCCTGGGTGGCGAGGGGTTTGGTATTACGAGTTGAAAGTTTATTTCTTTTTTGTTTTTCGCGCTTTCGCTGCCGGTCGTTTCACTTTTCTCTCACACACACATAAACACAGGGATACACACTCGCCGGAGAGCAATATTGGATGCAATTGGCGGCTGCTGCACTGATTTGTTTTGACTTTTCAGTTTTCTTTTGGGTTTTTCTATTTGGCTTTGTGGCCCAAAAAATTTAAACGAAACACCAAAAATGGGCCCGTTTGTCCTGGGTTTTTTGCTTTTTATTAGTTTGCTTTGCTTTACACTTGGCTGTTGGCTGTTTTCTGGTGTTTTGGTTTGGCGGAAAGGCCCGAAAAAGCGCTTATCGGTCTGCTCCCGAGAGTTTCCTATCAGAGACTGAGGCGAGCGAACGAGAAACGAAACGAAAACCAAACGGCCAGTTACAGTTACCCACACACACAGATACACACACTCGCGAGCGTTTGCTCTCCGATTCTCTCTCCCTCTCTTATGTATACATATGCATATACGCTGTTTCTATGGCATCTAACTGCGCTCGGAAAAGCAAAACAACACATGTGTGTGTGTGTGTGGCCTCCCCGCAGCATAAAAATGTTAAAGGAAAACTGCAATTTCCACGGGGATAACAGAGCGATCCAGCGAATGGTTAACATTGGGAAATCACTAAATAAGCCCTAAAAATGTATGCTATGTGCGCAGTAGCTTCCCAACATAACTATGACGCCATCGTAGCATAATTTATTAGAGCAGCAAAAAGTACTACGCAGTTAAAAAAAAGGAAATCATAGAGCACTTGTCAACACAGACCAGCATCATAACTTTGCGTATGTGTGGGTGTGCTTGTGACTCGCTCTGGTTTATCAACAACAGAGCAACGGTGTGGAGCAGAGCGATAACAGCTGTGAGCAACAATGTTGCGAAAACAGCTGTTGAGCAGCGAACCTCAGCCTCAAAACAAACGAGAGAGAGCCCAAAAGAATCGGCCAGCCCAGCACTCTTGTCCTCTTTAGTTCTTTTCGTAACCCTGGGCTTTTAGTATTTGTTGTTCTGATATACAAAAAATACAAAAAGTAATTTATATATAAATAATAAATATGAATATAAATATAAAGATTGTGAAAAAATATTGCCTACTTTAAGATGAAATTTTCGGAGACAACCTTGAAGAATTTTTGTTTATATGAAGACCACAAAGAAGTTTGACAAACTATGTTACTTCCTAAGTTAAATATTAATGGAGATAAAGTTTTCTTATCCATTTCTTTGGGAAGTTTTTTTGTCTTATTTATAATTGACTAAAGTACTTTTTATGCCTACTTCAATTTTTAATTTAAAAGGCGTAATCAAATCGCAGTATTAAATGATAACTCTAATTGGTCTTATTGTGATAATTCAAGAACAAGAAGGCACTCTTATGTTATAATGTTTGTTATTAAAATGGCAGACAGAACTACATGATCGTATTACTTATTAAGATTTCTTAGAAATGTAAGACATTGCTTACATTAAATTAAGAAATCTACAGTAGAGGAAGTTTATAAAACTTGTTATATCATTAATGTTTACATTTTATATCTTCATCTTTAAACAGCCGCATATGCACGCAAATGTTATCGTAGAGGAGCGAAAAAGAGCCGGCCGGTTTTCTGGGCTCCAACGATAACGTCACAGAATTTAACAGTTAAAGAGAGCGCTGGCTGTTAGTGTGCGTGAGCGTATCTGTGTGTGTGCGGGGGAGCGCGCTGCTCTCACACTCTCTTTCGGCAACTCACAGCTGTTATGTGCTTTGAAATTCATTCGATTTTGTTTACATCAATTTTCCATGCTGTAGTGTAGATGTGAATATGCTGCTGTTGCTGCGGATGGATGTGGATATATTTCGACGTTTTCTGGTATTTTGGGCTCTCCGCTGCCGCTGCTTAAGCATTGTTGTTGCCTTTGGAATGACCTCTGTAGGCATTTTCTGTAGGCAACGTCAGCAAGTGTCGAAAGGCAGGGGGCGTTTATTGCGGGGTGGGGGATGGGATGGGCGTTCCAATCTTCAACTCCAATAACCATCACATCCATCCAAGATTTGCGTAGTTATTGTTCTGGAGTTTCTGCGTTTTCCACTCTGTTTTCGGGGTGGATTTTCTGGGGATTTTCACGCCGCCATCATTATTAAAGACGTCATTTGCGAACGGAGTTGAAAATCTAGGAAAATGCACTGCGTATTTCCCACTCCACAAGCCGAGTGCTAAGTCACCCGAAAAAAAACTCGTAAATGGAGGACAGACGGAAGACCTTGTCAGATAGTACGGAAATAATGCTTTCAGGTCCTATCTAGCCAAAAACTTTACTGATTACAGTTGAAGGAAAAACTTATGTAGGTCTTATCTATATTAGACTACACAGAGAAACTAGTTATGCAGTAGTAACTCAATATCGTCGTCTTAGTTTATTTTTGAATAAATTCTTCAAACAATGAATTAACAATGAACTTCACATTTAAATTCATTTTGAAACTATAACCCCTTTAACTTTTAACCGACATATGCTTGTATGCATTTTATAATAGCATATCTCAGCTCATAATATTTCTGTTACCTTGATATAGAGTTCTCATTCCTTGCTCTAAGAAATAACACGATTTTAATAATATAATTATAACAGGTGTTAAAAAAATTATTAAAATTATTTTTTTAATTATTTTATTTTTATTTAAGTACGGTACAACTTTTAAAGTAATGTAATGTAAATGCGACCAAAATTGATTATCTCAAAACCAAATCAAATTAATGTTCCTATTGCTTTATTTTGAAGCTAGGTAGATACTAGCCAATTTATTTAACCTATTGGTATAAAACCTACAGTTTTGACAGTAATTTCAGAAATTTTAAAAGCAAAAAGTTTAGTTGAATAGCACAAACAGGTTTATTGTTTTGGATGTTTTTAAACCTTATTTTGCCAATAAAACTAGCTGTGGGATGCATGGGCTACATCGAGTTGTGGAGCTTCGCGTTTTACTAGTTCAACTAGTATTTTGATATTCGATATGGGTAAGTGATGATGGGTGATTTCTTCCTCCCCTTGCAGGCGAAATAATAAGAAGATGAAGAGGAGTGGCGGCCAAGTGCAAAGATGAACTATCTGGCAAATTCAATTAATCATTTCTCCACTGGAAATTCCGCAGCAGCAGCAACAACAACAATTCGAATCAACAGAGCGTTACCAGAGCTACAACAAATACGCAGTTACGAAAAGAAAACAACAAAGTGGCTGCTCAAGTGAATGTAAATGGGAATGTGAATGTAAATGCAATCCACGAGTTACAACACCAAAGCGAACGAAGGAAAACGCAAAAGGCAAGAGGCAAAACCAAAACAAAGCATAGGCGTTAGACGGAGCGAGATGGCGATACTCAGATACAGAAAACATGCACACACAGATACAGTGGCACTCAGATACAGATACGCGCATACAGGCGCATTGACACATTACCCAAACTGGAAAATAGGTCAACCAATTGAGAGGGCAATAGAGGCCTGCTCGCTCTGACGCTTATGTTAAAGAGAATGCATACGGGCGCTGCAAAAGAGAGGGAAAGAGTGCGGGTGTTACAACGCCTGTAAGAGAGAGTTCAATTAGAACGGGAACCGACTGTTAGCTAACAGCGGCCCCAATTTGCTGCTCGTTCTGATTGGACTTGCTCCAACTGGAGGGACAGCCAGCAAAAAGTTCTCGGCAGCTGTTGCACTTGATTTAAACCCCCCACCCCTCCCCATGACCGCCTACCAATTTAAGACTTTTATTCGAATTTTATGAAAATTAAACCGGATTTTCGGTTTTCTTTGTAAAGTTGTAATTATCATTTTAACCATTTTTTGTCAGTGTTATTATAGCCGCTGCATTTGGTAGGGCGCCGCTATTATTTCGTGCACTCGGCATAAAAACTGCCTCAAATTTAGAAAACCAAAAACTTGTATATATAGCAGAAAAAATTAAATATATTCTTTTCACATAAAAAAAAGAATGTATTAAAGAAAATAATTCATTTTTAAATCTATTTAAAATATATTTTAATTTGAGAAAAAAAAGTAGTTTTAGTTAAAAAGGATCTTTGGGATTTTAAAAAAAAGTCCCTATAGACTAGATGCTTGTGAGCTTGGTTAATTGATATCTTTTCTGACTTTTTATAATTCTATCAGATTTGTATTCCGAGTGTATTTTCATTACCTCCTTTATCATATGCTTATACCCGTAGATATGCGCGTTCTCACGTGTGTGAGTGGGGATTTGATTGGATCGCCTTCGAAACCGGATTTCGAAAATATGTATGTCACTCCATACCGTTCCATTCAATTACGCTGATGCCTAGGTATCGCCCAAGGTATAGGTCCCACAATGGACGCCTTTGTTGGCAAGAAATCAACTTGAAATTACCCCGATCGGACGACGGAACGAGAAGTTGAAGATGAGATGAGGGCAGTTGCCACTGGAGATGACGTAGAGAAAGTGCAAGCTGTATGCAAATTAACGACACCGAATCGGGACGGATTAAATGTCCAAATCTGATTTGGCTAAGCTGCAGATTATCTGCTGCACTAATTGTTATTTACTTATGAGTAAATACAAAAATAAGTATTGGCATTAATGTAACAAACTTATCATATATCTTAGGAAACTATTCATTATACATTTACATTCTAAACCAAAAATTACCCTTCAAACATTAATGGTTTTTGAGCAGCAAAATATTTAAAGCGAAAAACTCTTGCAAAATATGAAATCTACAAGGTAAAAAATAAAGAAAATGTTTTTAATATATTAAGCAAAACTTAGAAAGTCTCTTTAAAATTAATTGTAATCCATAAAACATCTTCAACTATATAAAAAGTTGTAAACCATCTATTGCAACAAAATTATTAGGCTATTTAATATATTTGCGTCTTCATAATATTAATTTTATATATTATATAGTTACCTTTTGCTGGTACAAAGGAAGCACAAATCTTTTCCTGTTATAGCTTATTACCTAAATTAATCTGCCGAATATTCAGCACTCATTACTTCGTTATGTAATCTCAACCATCTGCGACTACTCACTAATTAGAATCGGTTCGGTTCACCCCCAAAATTGACCAAGGCACATGTCAAGTAAGGCAAATTTGCTGTCATGACTGCGAACTTGGACGTGGACATGAGCCTGGACATGGATGTTGATGTGGACATGCCACCGACGCCGCGTCGAGTTGTCCATCAAAAGATGTCAGTCGTCAAACAAAAAACACAAAACATTCAAAACATACAAAACTCCGAACGCAAATCGCAGATGGTGGAAAATCGCCCTTGACTGGGAGTTAGCTTATAAACCCAAACTCCAACTCCAACTTCAACTTAAACTTCAACTTAAACTTAAACTCCCACTCCTATTTGAAGGCCTTGACATTTGGAGTTGCGTGCGGGGATCATTAGAATGTTTACCTGTTCGCTGGCTGAGTATCTGCTGTTTGACATCCAGCAGGTCGCGCGGGGAGATTCGAAGTTCGTTTGTACGGAATGGAAAATCAAGTTACCAACGGCCAACAGGGTCGTGTGATTGATGTGAACATGTCAGCACGGACATGAAAGTGGTCGGAGCTGGGTTGGGACTGGGATTGAGATTGGGACTGCGATGGCAGGAAGCATAAATTGTAGACAAAGATGAGTGCAGATACAAGATACATGCTGCTATTACACGACTCACAATCAGCTGCAGATACAAATTTATGTCATGTGCAGTGGGGACATGTGAATGACAAAAAAGCATCGCCGCAGACTGATAGAGTTTTGTCAACCGGTTCGACACGGCGAGAAATTATCACCAGGCTTTCCAGCTAACTAAGTTGTCCTTATATATAATATAAAATCTGACACAGCCTTTCCTTTACCTTTTTTTTTAAGATAACAAACTACCTAACTTTTTAGCACACTCTCTTATGTTCTTTTATTCATATTTCTTCTTTACTTGTACTTTTTGGGAAAGTCCTTTTTTAATTTTTTTTGAAAAGGAAAGTTATAAAATGATAATTCTTATATGTAAAAATGGCTTTAGGATTTTGTGGCTGAAATGTAGGATATTATGTTTTACGATTTTAAAGGCAATTAAAGGAGACAGAGGTTTTAATATGTCTTTTTCAGGCGTACACTCTGAATTCAAAACTGATTTGCATAAATAGTTTTATAAGGTTTGGGTGACAGCAATATTAATTTGCATATCATTGCAGAAGAGTGAATTTTAAATCCAACCAAAACTCATAAGTAACAATATTTTAATAATCAAATAGTTAGAAATTCATAAAATTGTTTGTAGTGCACTTGCAGTTTGGGAGCCGTGGCTGGAATTGTCGGCCAACCCAACTCAATGGCTGGGGTCAAGCGGCCACCTGACAGCAACTTTCCTTGGCGGGCTGATTTCACCGATGGACGATTCAATCGCAGAGCCAGGAATGGAGTTGGGGAATCGGAGAGTTGGAGAATTGGAGAATCCGAGGAACGGAGGAGGAGCTGCGCCTCCAGCATGGAGACTGTGCGTGCTGTTGACACTGGGTCATAAATTCTGGTGGAAAACAGACAACAGTTTTCATTGTTCGCCTGCTCAGATGCAAGACTTTTGTTTGGACAATACACAAATATGGGCACTAGGCAAACACCGATACGCAGCAATAGACAAATAAATGCCTCGGCTGAAATTGGGTTGGCCTGGGCGAGGGGAGAGTTGGATGGATGAAATTAAATTGGGTTGCTTGGTTGAGTAGGTATAGGAGGCTGCAACCATTTGTCCGAGCCAAACTGTTGACTTTGCCGCTTGCAGGCCGCATTCAATTGAGTAAACAGACAATCAAACCACCCCTGCGCTGAAAAGCCAGGCCCGAAATCAGGCCAAAGACGCCACTGCCATCAACCTTGGCAATATTGCAACTCAGAACCTTTCAGGGCGCAAATGGGTCATTTTGCCACACGTCACTTGCTGACCTACTTTCAACTTTTTTTTTGGTGCCAGAATCTATGTCAGGGATGTCGACAGGTCCAAGTTGCGGCAATGAAAGTATCCTTGAGCAAAACATATCAAACATAATAAGGTGTTTTAAGCCTATAAACCATTTTATAAATTTTAGAAATTTCAAAAGTGAAAACTTAAACGCAGTTAAAATATTAAAAAGAAAAATATTTTATTTCGAAATAAAGTTCAAACATTTAGATAAAATGATTTATCCCTAAATAAAATGAAATTAAATAAGCACTTGTAATATCTGCTGCCAAGAAAAATTATATTAATTTGTGTCAATTTTGAACAATTTTATAAATTTTATAACTCTCAAAAGTGAAAATGAAAAATTATTTAAAATTCTTGTTCATGTGGATTGTCTGTCAAATAGTTGGTTGAGTTTTAAATTCAAAAGAAGTTGTCAAAAAATTGTAGTCCCCAAAAACAATAATTTAACAACAAAATATAAATGTTATTTTAAGTCTTAAACATATTTGTGTACTATATCTATACTTAATAAACGAACCAATACTTGGCTTTGGTTGGTTGCTCAAATTTAAATTTATTTTAATGGTTTTGAGACGTAATATAAATAAATATTTATTTTTCCAAACCTATTATAAAGTCATCATTTGAATGCAGATATTCCTGCGAATAGCTAAGAAACCTTAGCATAGTTTTGCGCTTTCATCAACACCAAGGACATTCTGCCAAGGGCAAGCGCAAACGAGGTCTAACTTGACCCAGATTCGGATGCAAAGAGTGCCCATGTCAGGGCTGCGCTGCTCCACTTCTTGGAAATGGCGAACTGGGCCAATTGGATAAAACTTTGTGGGAAAAGCTCCACAAATATGCTTACATGCATGCTCCATATAAGAAAGCTTCGTCAACAGCAGGGTGATTCACTGAGTCTGCAGTAAAATCATCCACATGCGCTTAAAAGTATGCTTTACATTCTTTTTGTATTTTTAACAGAGCAATGGTTTGTGTATTGGCTTTTCTGAGGCGCAGAAAATGTGGAAAACTTACATTTTCCACGGGCAGTTGGCAACTTCAGGTGTTGGGTTCGACAAGTTTTTGCACATTAAAAATTAAAACAAGCTCGATATCTTCGTCAATTGTTTATTATTTAAATGGTAATACACATTTTCTCAATACTTTCATTAAAATGCTTAGAATTTACTGCAATACTTGTAAGACTTTTGTTTTTTCTGCGAAGCTTCATAACTGAGCTAGAGCAGAAAAAGATGAACATGGCTATATTAACTCGTCTAGTTATGCTGATCAAGAATGTTTATGTAACGTCTTTTTCACTGCATGGCGAGCTCTTTACTGAAAAGTTTAATACTGTCTGCAGGAAAATATCTATTTCGTAATCTTAAATTTTTCTAATGAGGTATGATTGATTCGATCAGTGCAATAAGTGAGTTCCATTATTGCATTTTTTTCCATAGCCATACGATGCCAATCCCGAACAAACAGAGAGAAGGAAATATAAGTAGGATAAGCAACCAAAACACCGATGAAGGAGTTTGATCTTTGTCGACTTCCTTGTGGCACTGCGTCGACAAAGGTTTTGGATGATCGGATTCATGCAAAACGCAATCGATACTCTCCAATTTGGACAGACTCGCCTGAAAATCATAATAAATATTTAATAAAGATTATTAAATATGTACGACTTGACTAGCATTACCATTGAATAGAATCTTTTCACAATAGGCGAAGAGCATGCGCACAGAATCGGATTTCCCTTGATGTTCGCATTGGTTCTAAAAAGTACAACCAAGCTGTGCATATCGGTCAATTTGTTGTGGCTCACATCGATGAAGGGTATACGGCATGGGTCACCGGGCAAATCCGTGAGATCGTTATGGCTTAAATCTACACTCTGCAGGCGAGGCATTGTTCTGAAGTTAAAACTGTTCAGGTGCGAGATTTTGTTGTTCGAGAGGTCCAGGTGCATAAGGTCCTTGAGAGCTGTTAAATTCAGGGCATTTGGAATTTCTTCAAGACCAACGCCTGAAAGATCCAATGTTTCAACCTGCAGTCCAGCCAAACACTCGAAAAATAAGCCGGAAATGTCGCTGCATCTGGCAGTCAGGGACCCATTTTTCAGTATCGAAGTCAAGCAGCCGCATTGGAAGATTATTGTTGGGCATATAGCCAATACTGTTATTTGCGCAATGAATAGGATGAAAATCTAAAATGGAAAATGCACAAAATTTTATTTTCATTGTCTGTAGTTAATTTTATTGTTAATTCATGATGACTACACTTTCAACACTTTGTCTGATGTCTGATATCAAATCTGTGACGAAATGTTTAAACAAATGAACTGACATTTTAGTTTTAAAAAGCACTTTACTATAAAATTCTATAAAATAAAGTATACATTTTAATCGAAAAACCACAACATTTTCCGTTTCCAAATTTATTTCTTTCAAAACTTTTTTGCAATTTCCACTGAACTATTCGAATTTTTTTTAGCCCTTACACCAGATTTGTATTTTTCCATCTATACACTTTTGATAAATAATTAAAATACTTAAATTTTATAAATCTTTTGTACCAACTTTTATTTGCCTAAGTGCGATCAAAGTCATATTTAAAAATTTATTTATATTGTCTCTACACCTAATATTATTGAGACACTAAATCAAAATTACAAATTGCTAAATTTAATACACCACTGAATGACTAAGAAAGAAATTTAAGATTAGATTGTATTAAATTGCTTTATTGATAAGATAGCAAAGTGCATTTTTTATTTTACTGTCGGATTCTTTTATTTCTTGTAAATGAAACTAATGAAAGATAGGAATTGGACAATGGTTAGCAAACGAGCTTTTTTAGTTGACCGCTGCAATTGCAAGGTGTTTTTTGCAAAAAGTAAGTACAAAATACAAACGGGAAATCTTTAAGTCTGATACCATCCTGCTACGTTTCAGAAATTGTAATGGAGGTATGTTTGCAAGAAGAGTAAATTATTTTTAAAGCCATTTAATAATATAAGCATTTAAAACATTCCCGAAGCTTCTGTAAAGAAGGCATAACATTCTGTTAAATTGTGATTAATTTGCTTAATCCAAACCGACTTATCAGCAAATATATGGCTGTTAAATGTATACATATGTTTAGTTATACATGATGTTGTTTTTCGCACTTTTAAGATTGCGACTTTACTGAAAGTGATTCAATCTTTATTTGCTCAGCTCAAGAACAGACAGCAATGACAGTCGTTAAATCTTTTGACATTATAATGCATAGATTTGGACTATAGAGCCGTAAACGTTTGTTAATTCCCAAACAATTTTTATTAATTTCTTCTATTTTGCAGTAAGCCACGGATAATAATAATCTAGCAAAAGAACTTGGAAAATACATGATTCAACAAAGGTTAGTCTGGGTTCGTATACTATCTTTCATACAAAATCATTGTCTAACTTTAAATAATTCTACTACTCTTTTTTTTAGATTTTTACGAACATATGTGTTTTGAAAGATAAAGCGGAAATAAAAAGCCTAATAGTTACTTTAATTCTTCATTAAAAAGTGTTCGTTGTTTAGACAATAAGATTCGTATTAATTTATTTGAAATTGATTACAATTTAATCTATTACAGATACTACGCAAGACAAAACGTCCGGGACCAGACGACTTAATTATGTAGCTGCCAGAAAAAGGTAATCCTATTGAATAATACATAATAGCCATATCTGAAATAGTATATATACTTAAGCATGTTTATTTCTTTTTTGTTTCTACTAGTTAAAGTTATATTGCAAAAATGGATGACGTAAGACTTACAATATTTAACGCGAATTTAAAATTATTAGAGTTCTTAAATTAATGATCTGAAAAGCGTATATTTCCCTGTGTTTGCACAAATGTAACTACTTCTCTTTAAAAAAGTTTTTTTTTTAATAAATCGCTCTAATTTGTATGACTAAATACATCTTAACAAATGTTTAGTTCTTAAAAGCTAATTAAATTAACTACATTTTTAAATATTTTTTTAAATTATCTTTCAGGTTAAACAAGACTGGAAGTTAGCTTCGGCAAGCAGAACTCGAATTGATTTTGCTGATCAAGAATTTAACTTCTTCTCTGCGTTACTCGGGAGCAAAATTATAATAACTTCTACTTGTGAATCACAATCAAATATAATTATTGTTGTGAAGTATTACTATTATATTCTGTTAAAAGTAAAAAATTAATGTAGGTTATGGTGTAACTTAAGTAAAACAAATTGATGTTTGAAAGATGCGCCTAGATCGCGGAGAAGTCATATGTAATGGCTGCTTGTGCTTCTACTGGCCAGAAAGACAAGAAGATGAGCTGGCTCTTCGACAAAAGCTCGGATAACTATGTAATACCCACACTTACCTGGGGTATACATTTTTGGGACCATGCGTGTAACACTTCCTTAAAACTTATTATTATCTCGCGTAGCTTAAAATTTATGACACATGGCAAACGCCACATACTATATACGAATCGAAATCTCAATATAAGTCCTGTATGTATATTAATCACTAACACTGCTACCCGTTACAGACTTTTTTCACATGCAAAGACTTAAAAGACTAAGAAATGAATACTAAGCCTTGCCATAAAAAGAAAATTTATAATCATTAATTATCGTAGATCAGCGGTTTTCTTACATATTTAATCGTCATCTTGTGGATTTTGTTATATTAAATAAATTAAACTGCCTTTGACTGGTAACTCTTTAGGTGTAATTAATCAGATTATTTTTTTAGTTTATATTTACAAATAAAAAATGGCTCGTGACTTGTAGTTTTTTTATAAGTAAAATTAGAGATGAGTAGTTGGTATCGATAAGTCAAAACAATCGATCAGTTTTACATGCTATTGAACTGGATTAAAAAGTAGTAACCTAAAGTAATAAATTTTCAGCTATTTTTTCAAGCTGGAAATAAAAAGAATTTGACACAAATGGTATGCAGGCCGCCAAATCAACAAGAAATATTTTGTTTTATTCTATTTTAATATATTATATAAAACTGCCTCGAGCTTAGTTTTAATATTTAATAGGACTGGTATTATAATGAAATAAAGTTGAGATTTCCTTGGTTGATTCAAAATTATTTTCACTACAATGGTACAAAAATAGAAATAATAAATATGTGACTATTAAATTTTTGAATTTTTATATTACAAATTTAAATTATATGAAAATTATAACTTTTTTTGCAAAGCATTACTTTTTACAAGTGTAAATGGAAATGAATTCTGTGTTATGCAAAAAACTAGAGCTATCTTTAGCTATACATTTTTTTGCTTTGTGGTGAATGAATTATTAAATAAAATTATATCACCTCAGACTGTTGTGCATAATAAATGGAACGATTCGGGAGGAATTAATTATCTCAGAAAACTGCAAGAACCTGTTGTCTATTGGATTGACTCGTTCAAAAACTTCTCAGAAATGATGCCAATTAAAGCTGTCTACGTGGTTTTGGAATGTGCTAAAAGCTTTTTGCTAGTCACGTAGTAATAAAATGCCGTTAAGTTTAAACTAAAGAATTGATTAATCATATAAATATTATTAAGTAAAATAATACAAATTTTCGAAAAATACTTATTATACACAATTGATAGTTGAAGCATTTTAAGAAAATAATTTTAGGGAGTTTGACTTGTTGTGCCGGCAGACAGTGCGTATACTTGATGGGAGCGGCTCTGTTTGGGGAAATCGGACAAGCAGTGCAGATTTGTTGTGCCAACAAAAAGCCTGCGTCCTCGTCCTGTTTTTCTCTCGTTCTCTTGCTCTCTTTCTCTCTCCATATATATACATCCGGCTCTCTGGAGCGCGCACAAGCGAATCCTTGACGATTGTGTGGCAGTTACTTCGGCAAAGTTGCGCCCCCGTTGGCAGCGCTGTCGGCGTAGACGCATCGCTGCGTTGCCGCCCGCCAACAAAAAAAAACTGGGGGAGACGGAGGCGAAGGCGAAGGCGAGTCCGGGCGGGAGTCCTCGGAGTCCTTTTTCGCGTCCTGAGTCCTCAGTTTTGGACAAACACTCCGAGAGGCACGTCAGGGCCAAGCGCGCGCGCTTCTCGTGTCGAGAATTCTGTCTGTCTGTCCGCCCAGCGTGTGCGTGAGCGTGTGTGTGAGTGTGTGCGTGAGCCAATGGCAGCGTCGGTGTTAGCCAATTCCAATTCGGTGGCAGCAAACACCGTGCCGTAATCGTGCAAAATACGGGAAAGTCTGGCCCGTACCAAAATTCAAGTGCAAACGTACAAATTCAAGTGAAAGTGCTAAAGGAAAAAAAACAACAAGCCCCCCTTTCTATATCGTCCTGAAAATAAACAACAACGAAAGGGGAAAAAAATATATAGTGAAAAATCATAAGCAACACACAACAGGCAACAACGTTAGCAACAAAATCAACAAAGTGCGCTGGCGGAGCGGGAATCGCGGTGCGGGTTGTGGGTTGCGGGCTGCGGGCTCTTCAGCTGCCAGTTCGGCTGTCAAAAGTTAGTTCGAATCGAGAGTCTAATGTTTAATTTCCATTTTTATTTCTATTTTAGTTTTTTAGTCTCCTCTCTCCCTCCCCTCCATTTGTCCTCTACACATTTTCAGCTCTACAAAAGGCGTGGGCGGTGCACGGCAAGAAAAACTGTGGGAAAGGAAATAATTAGAAACAAGAGATTGCAGAATTTTCAACTAAAAGTATCTACGTGCCTTATTAACATTTAATTTTTGTGTGTATTTTATTTGTATTGTTTTGTTATTACTTATGTTAACATTTTACAATTATGTATTATAAAAACTAATTTGATTAAAGTATTATATACTGCTTTACTTAAACAACTAATTTAATTTGTTCTGATTTCTTAATTTAACTTATTAACTTTTGGCACGCTGAAATTAATATATAATGTTATTATTTTTTCTTATAATTTAATTTGTTATTTTAAAAGATAACAACATAAATTTTTAATCTTTATACCAATTGGTGTTAAAATTTAGAGTCTGAACAAGAAACGTAGAATATGATCAATGTTCATGTTTTAACAACAAAAAAAATTGGTATTTGTTATTATCAATTGCAAGCCAAGATATTTTTAATATAATTTGGACCACCATGATTCTTTCTGTGTACTTTCGACTTAATTCTTATGGCAATGACAGGCGCTCAAGGAGTTTGCCCGAGTGTTTGCCTGGCCTGCTGGTGTTGTTGTCCTTCTTCTGGGAGGCTTGGTATGGAAAAGCTCCAAGATTTTACGCTTTTAATGTCGCGCGCTGCCCCAACAAGTAACTTGGATAATTTAAACAGAAATCTTAGTGCTTGCCAAGTGCATTACTCATACGCCGCGTTGCCCGAACAAAGCATGAAAATGAAATCATACCAACTACAAAAAGGCAATAACATTTAAGTTCACCTACCAACTGTCCGTTTGTGTGTGTGTGTGGGTGTCTATGATGAAAATTGTGAAATGCGTGCCATGGCAAAAACAAAGGCAGCAAAATAAATGAAATGAAATGAAACAGACCAGCAATAAAACGGGGCAAGAACAAAGGACGAGAGCTAATGTCCGAACCTGACCAAAGTCCAGAGTCACGCGAAGTTGCAACAACAACAATGGCAATTTTCAAATAGACCACCAAGGTGAACCAAGGATGTTTTTGTGGGGGAGAGCTAGTTAGTTAGATCAGACTTCTGGCAGAGATCTGTTATAAATCAAGGATGTTGTGCTGGCGAACAAATGCAAATAAATTGAAGAATAATAAGCAAAATGCCAAGGCACTGGCACTGGCAATGGCAACCAAAAAAGCAAAAAAAGCGAAAAGCCGCCGCACAAAATGTGTAGCATAAATAATTCCACCCACAACACACAGACAAAAAAGGTTACACAGTCACTAGGGCGACACCAGCAGACAGGCAAACGCCGACGCTAGCAGCGACGTCGACGTCGACGCCGGCACAGTCAGCCTGAGCAGCAGGACTTTCACCCACACTCTCTCTCTCTCTCTCTTTCTCTAACCACAAGTATATCTGTAAAACTTTCTCTCTAACTAACCTACATCAACAGCTGTGACTTGCGAAAAAGTGCCACCCACGCAAACCCAAAAATGTGAAGAAAAACCAACAAAAAGTCTATAAAAAAAATTAAAAATCCTAAAGTTATAAAACCAATCAAATAATTAACTAAATAATAATATTTTTCAGTGTTTTAGTTGCTGTTTTAAGTGTGAAAATCGCGAGCGGAGTAAACAATTGGCCAGGACAAATGAAAACGCCAGAGCGCGCTTTCCTCTGACTATCGCTCCCTGTCTCTCCCCTTCTCGGTCTCTCTGTCGCTGTCTCTGTCGCTCTCTTTCGCCGACTTTCTCCGGAACAGCTGTTCGTCCTGCACATCTCTGTATAGCTGGCTATCTCTCAACTTTCTCCCGCTCTCCTGCGCCGAAGCGTGTGTACATAACCTAAAATCCGCGCTCTGGATGTTGCGGTAGGCGGTCGTGGCAGTTGCACACACAAGTGCAACATTGGGAGCAGAGCGGCAGCAGAGCGACGGAGCGGCGACGGAGCAGCGTTGATGCCGTTGCAGCTGCTGCTGCGCAGTCAGCGACGTCAGCAACAACAGCAACAGCAACACAAGCAACAGCAAAAGCAGCAACACTCGCAGCAGCAGCAACAGCAGCAGCAGCAGCAACGCCAGCAGCAACACTCGCAGCAGCAGCAGCAGCAGCAGCAGCAGCAGCAACAATCAGCAACATCAGCGCCCTGTGTGCACCGACAATAATATGAGGAGTGGCAGTTCGGAATTACTACTCGAGCAGCAACAACAAGAGCTACGGTTACGTAAAATCCGAGAACTGGCTCCGAAAAAGAAAAATGGCAATCGGCGCTTTCGTTCGTGGCGGGAACGTGCGCGTTTCTATGGCACCTCGACACTGGCCTTCTTCTCGGTGACCGCCGGCGCCTCGCTGCTCTTCCTCGTACCGCTCTACGTCGATCCGGCCATATCGACGCTGAGCCACGACTTTATCGAGAAGCCCACGCTGTGCACAACGACGCGTCGCGAGGATCTCGTGGGCATCTTCAACTGCTCGTGGAGTTCGTGTCGCGAGGGCTGCACCTCCGATTTGTACCGCTGCGTGCACATCTATGTGACGTTTATCGAGCAGAACATTACGATACCAGAGAATATGACTACAGCAGCGGATTACAGCAACTTTACGTCGGACATGGAGCAGTCCGACGAGGCGACGCTGCTCGTGAATATCAAGGGCTGCGGCTACCCGCCATCCGTCACGTGCAAGAACTTCAACGGGTACTACGGCATCGAGGGCGCCATCTTCCCGTGCTTCTACTCGCGCAAGAACAAAACGGTGGTGCTGACCTCCTACAACCACGACGACCAGGTGGCCGTGATCATCCACTTCTTCGCGGTGCCCTTTGTGATAACGGTCATCTCGTCCATCGCCCTCTGCATCATGCACTGCGACTGCCGCTGCAAGAAGGATCGCAGCCACCGCCGCAATCGGCCGCAGTGCCGAAGGCCGCGCATCGAGAATCTCAGGTGAGTGACGATTGCCCACAGCAAATCGCCAAATTCTTCTTAAACACGTGGAGTATGGTTAATGCATAATGACGGTCTGACAATCAGACAATCAAAAGTAGATTTCTTGAAATATCGCAATTATTCTTAGCACTTACTTGGGATTGTGTGCATTTCGAAACGTTTTCTTTATGTGTTTCTTAGAAAACTCTTTAACTCTCTAAGTTGATTGGTTGGGATCCTCACTTTATAAGGATATA